GCTCGGTATACAATCTCTGGGATATTAGATAGATGATGGACTATAAGTATATGGTAATTGAGTATAAGCAGGTCCAATTGATTGGATTCTCCTATATCGTTTGGGGACTACGACATAGTGGCCTAGTACGTCTGCTTTCGATGAGTCGAATGAATTATTATGGAGATAATAATTCACCGATGAGTTTTGACATGTATGACTTAGAGCCAGCTTGATATTGAGCCTAAAGGGTCATACATATATAGTAGGCGTTACGATGAGTAGAGGTTCAGATATGAGATATCCATCGGAGCTCCTATCTTATTGGATATCCAATAAGCCCATGAATTATTGAATCCTATGTATAAGATCCAATAAGAGCTAATGAGAAATTATTGGATAAAGATTCACTAATCTAAAAGTTTTGGGTAGTTGGATGGAGATCCAATACCGAATAAGGCAGGATCCATTCATGTTATGTTGACAGGGGATCTCTATAAATAGGAGGAAACCAATGATTCATAGGTTATATCCTCTTTGGGTTGTCATCTCCTATTTACCTCCCCTTCTCCTCAGATAGTAGGCCTGGAGTTTTGAGGAGCATCGTCGCAGTCCTATTGTATGGATCATCGCTAGAGATGAGGACACTTGGACCTTATTCATCCTCTCCTAGAGATCTGTAGGATTTAAGGATATATAATCTTCCTATGTAACATAATCTTTAATATACATAGTTTTAAGTTTCGTAGATTTTGCGCACCAATCTTCGTATGACGACAAACATATTTTTAAAAAATTTAGAGATTTTGATTTATGTTCTTCCGTTGCGCATGTGATGTCGCCCCCTAAATTTCCCTATTTGTATCGCCAATGTTAGGCAGTGATACCGCCCTAACATAGTCTCACAGATTGTATTAGACGGTGGTACCACCTAGTGTCAATGTTACAGACGGTGGTACTGCCTAACATAGACAGTGATATCGCTAGTACCTTAAAATTCTAGGGTTTTAAATTTTAGCTCTATTTTTTAAAGTCATTTGGGGTCTATAAATACTTCATTACTTCCTGCTTGGGTAAGTAGAAAAAGAGTGAAAATGGGTAAAGAATCCTTATGAAAAAAGAGTTATAATCTCTTTTTAAGTGTAGAGTCTCTTTCTCCTAGTGTTTATAGATAAGTCTTTCTGAGGGAGGAGTGAGCTCTTAGTGTAAAAAAGAGAGGTGTAAATGTTCTCTCTTGAGCTTCTGAAAATAAAAAAGAATTATAAAGGTAGTTGATTTTCGTTCATTGAACGAAGATCGTTAGTGAACGTCAATAGCCTCGACAGAAGAGGAATCAGGAGTGGACATAGGTTGTGACGATCGAACTACTATAAATTTAGTATATATTTTTGTTCTGCTTTTCATTGCCATTAATAATTAATTTAATTGTTTACTACTCTTACTTGCATTTTAAGTTAAATATATTTTCAATACGGGTTTGAGCGAATGAAGTTTTCAAATCGATGCAATTTTATGAAAGCACTAATTCACCACTCCCTCTTAGTACAATTTTCGATCCTAATACTTTCTTAAACAAACATTTTTATGAAAAAATAGAACATCTTGTAGTGTGTCAAAAAATTTTTTCAAAAGACTTTATTGGTCTTCAAGGATCCTTTTATGCACTATGTTTGATATCAAGTAAAAGCGATTATGGGTTCAAAGGGGTACTATGAAGAAATGAAAATGTCACTTTCTAAATTTCTGACAATATTATTATTATTTTTTGTCTCAACCATACATGATCCATATAAACTAATTATCAAACTATTATTTCTATTTTTTGGATTATCTTTCTAAGTGTACTAATAAATTCTTCATAGTAAGGAATCAAATGCTAGAGAATTCATTTCTAATGGATATTTTTACTAAGAAATTTGATACCATAGTCCCAATTATTCCTCTTGTTCGATCATTGTCTAAAGCTAAATTTTGTGTTGTATTCGGGCATCCTATTAGTAAGCCGATTTAGATCGATTTCTCATATTGTGATATTATTAATCGATTTGGTCGGATATATATAAATCTTTCTTAGGATCCTTAAAAAAATAGAGTTTATATCAAATGAAGTATATACTTCGACTTTCGTGTGCTAAAACTTTGGCTTGTAAACATAAAAGTACGTAGTTTTTTTGCAAAGATTAAGTTCGGGATTATTAGAAGAATTCTTTACGGAAGAAGAACAAGTTCTTTCTTTGATCTTCCCCAAAATAACTTCTTTTTATTTACATGGATCATATAGAGAACGTATTTGGTATTTGGATATTATCCATATCAATGACCTGATAAAAAATTTATAATAAATTAGGCATAAAACGATATAATAAAAATAGAAGATATAATAGAAATGATCTATAGATATAGAGATCAAGAGAAAAAAATATTCACGAATTCTCATTCTGAAATGCTCATATAAGTAGTATAGTGGTTGAATCAATTGAGTAGTCAAAATTCCCATACTTTCTTCTTTTTTTTTTCTTAAGAAAGTCGTATGCAATGAAACACGGTTCGGGGAGGGATTTTTTTCGACTATTTTATTTAGAGAAAGTCGTAAGCAATGAAACAAGAAAAAATTATCCATTAGAAACAAAATAAGAGATATGAGATATGAATATTTTATTTATATAAAATTCTATTTTGACTATTTGAAGTTTCTTTCCCTCCTATATATATGCGATTATACTTGAAAAACGAATAAAGATTAATTTAATTTTATCATTTTAGGTTAAGTTCAGCATTGACTATAACATGCACAAAACTCTTTAACTATTATAAAGTCTCCTCCCAAACATCTACTCGTCTAAACGAATATTGTGACATGAAAATGTGTGATTGTGGAGAAAATCTAAAGACTCAATTTTGACGTTTAGAGAACTAAAGATCACAAGTTAATTTGCAGTACGTTCAGTGAACCAGGCGGAACTCGAGTCACTCAAACCAGCCATTCCCTGAGCTTTAGATCGTAAACTCATCGTGGGTCCCACTGTATCCTGCACGTTGATCGTTGGAACGCACTGTTGCGTGCTGTGCATCGTAAACTGAATCCGCACCCCTTTCTTGGAGGCAAAATGGATACACCAGAATTCAAAACCATTTCAAAAGAACGACTCCCGGGCAAAAAGAGCCGTCGGTTCGGATCGCAAATCACAACGGCCTAATTGGACCGGTCCAATGCATTGATGGAGGATCAGTGGACCAGATCCTCCGTTTCCGCATCCGTTAAAGCAATAAACCCGGTTCGGAACACGGTTCATTTAACGTCCAGATTCCAAAATGGGGGCCGGGTCGGTTCTTTCTTTCCCACGTTTACCTCTTCTTTTCTAGTAGGGTGTAAGGGTTAGGGCTTCAATTTTTCCTCTTCCCTCTATTTTAACCCCATTTCGTTTCTCTCTCTCTCTCTCCGGTGGCGTTGCATCTGAATCCTGGTACGCCTCTTCCTGGCCCTCGTCTCTTGTGGATCTTTCGCTTTGTAAGGTTTCTTGAATCGACGTTGTCTGCTCTTCGGAGGATGCTTTGATGGGTATCTGGTTATTGTATGTAAAGATAAGCAGTGCATGTTCTTATCGTTGATTAGGACCAGAAGGAAGCTTTAGGAATATTGTTTGCCGTTGCTATCCTTTGGATTGGATGGTTTTTTTATGGTCTGCTTTTGTTTGAACTTATGGGTGAAGCTTGATTCTTGCATCGGCGACCTTGTTCTGTTTTTCTGGTTCATGTGAAGGGTTCCTTTCTTTTCTCATCACCGCACATAGAAGCTTGCGGGAATGGCTGTACTTTTTAATCCCCGTTTATTGTTAAAACAAGCTTTATAGGGTTGTCGAGTCTGCGTCACTGATCTACCAATACATGGTGAAAGTTATGAACTTCATAGAACGACATCCATCTCTTCTCGAGCAACATCAATGTTACCATGGTTGTATTGATAGATGGGTTGTGGGTTTTCATTAGTCGACTGCTGAAGTGCAAAGAAGCCGACTTTCTACTTAATTTGGTTGGTTTAGGTCTTTAATAGTGTAATCCACGACACGTTCACTTCAGTGGTGGACAAAGCAGAGATGAATACGCCGGGAGGATTTAACTTTGTAAAAGAAATAGTTAGTAGTTGATTAGATTGTGAAAAGGTTTTACCGGTTCAATCTCTTCTTTTTCTTTTATGAATTTGTGGAGTTACTAAAAATGATAATAAAAAGAAATATTTTCATTAATGAACAATTATATATAGACTTGATATAATATAAAAATGAAAGATAATCGTTTAAAATGTTATAAACATGTATCAAGGAGACTTGTAGATGTTGTAGTCAGAAGAATTGAAACAATTACTACTATTGGTTTGATAAGAGAAGAGATGGAACGAGACGTAAACGGATGCTTCTAGAAACACAAAATAAAGATTTAGAAATTTTAATTTAATCAATGATACGATTTTCCACATAATTCAATGGCAGTAAAAGACCAGTCGATCCCTTTTGGGACGTTATGGTTTTATTATTGTTATTGTTGTATTTCTTTTCTTTTTGGTCTACATGAAGGGCACTTCTAGGGCTTAAATTTCTTTTGGTCAAAATTATTAGGAAAAAGCATTTTGTTCCTTACTTTTGCATATTTCAATTTGTTTTAAACAATCTGATATCTTTGTGGAGAAAACAAAGTTTTTGCTATAGCATATCTAGTGGACAAAACCTGTCGTTACAAGTACCATTTATGAAGATTTATCAGCATTCTAGACCTCTTTGGATTCTGTGGCACTATGCATACCTTCGTTCTTGTATGCCCAAGTGCAGTGTTTGGTTTTGTTCATATGATCTCAAATGGGAACTCTATGCTTTCTGTGCTTTGTTGCTTCTCTCATCTGTGTAGGACACATTGTTGCCTGTCTTTTTGGCTTTGATTCACTTTTTCTGTTCTGATGATTCATGCTGGAATGTTCCTTTTTACATCCTATCAATCGAACATCTTTTCATAGACATAAACATCTGCCATTTTGCCACTTCTTTTCACATGTTGTAAAACAGAAGTTTGGATTTCGATATGGATGGTTCTCAAGAATTTGATCCTCATCCATTCACGATCAAATTATGGCCGCCCAGTTCAAGCACAAGAATGATGCTTGTGGAAAATATGACCCAGAATCTCTCCTCGGAATCGATCTTCTCCAGGAAGTACGGCCTGTTGAGCAAAGAAGAGGCTCATGAGAATGCTAAGCGAATCGAGGATGAATGCTTTGTTGCTGCCAGTAAACATTTTGAAAAAGAGCCTGATGGTGTTGGAAGTTCTGCAGTTCAATTCTATGCTAAACAAACCAGCAAGCTGATGTTGGAAGTGCTTAAAAAAGGCCCTAAACCCAAAGATGGTGAAATGGCAGCGGTTGATAGACCTGTTAAATCTGGTGAAGTTGTGTTTGATATTTCAGGGGGTACTAGGGCATTTATTGATGCTGAGGAGGCCAGAAAACTTCTTAGCCCGCTAACTGAGCAAGGAAACTCATTCAGAAAGATATGCCTCAGCAACAGAAGCTTCGGTATCGATGCAGCTCATGTTGCAGGGCCTATTCTGGCCTCTCTCAAGGAGCAGCTGACTGAAGTAAATCTATCAGATTTTATCGCAGGAAGACCAGAGGAAGAAGCTCTTGAAGTGATGAGGATATTTTCATCAGCCTTGGAAGGCAGTGTTCTCAGATATCTGAACCTGTCCGACAATGCCCTAGGTGAGAAGGGTGTCCGGGCATTCGAGGCACTTTTAAGATCACAGAAGAGCATAGAGGAGCTTTACTTAATGAATGATGGAATATCTGAGGAGGCTGCCAAAGCTGTGTGTGAGTTAATTCCATCGACTGACAAGCTTAAGATCCTGCATTTCCATAACAATATGACAGGAGATGAGGGTGCTATTGCTATTTCTGAGGTCCTCAAACGTTCTCCTCTGCTGGAGGACTTCAGATGCTCATCGACCAGGGTGGGCTCTGTGGGTGGAATTGAGTTGGCCAAGGCATTGGAGACCTGCACTCGTTTGAAGAGGATTGATCTCCGTGATAATATATTTGGTGTTGATGCTGGGATAGCCCTGAGCCAGACACTTGAAAAGCTTGTTCACGTTAAAGAAATCTACCTTAGCTATCTAAATCTAGAAGATGAGGGGGCCATTGCCATCGCTAATGCCCTGAAACAATCTGCTCCTTCTCTAGAAGGCTTGGACATTACTGGAAATGATATCACACCAAAAGCTGCCCCTGCACTGGCAGGGTGTGTTGCCATCAAGAAGTCACTCAGGATGCTGATCTTGTCTGAGAATGAGCTGAAGGATCAGGGTGCTGTTCTCATTGGCAAAGCATTGGAAGAGGGCCATACACAGCTCAGAGAACTTGATCTGAGCACCAACCTGATACAGAGGGTAGGAGCAAGATGCTTGGCTCAGGCAGTGTCAAACAAGACTGATTTCAAGCTGCTAAACATAAATGGCAATGCCATTTCAGATGAAGGCATCGATGAGGTGAAGGAAATACTAAAGAATGGCAAAAATTCTGTGGACGTGCTTGGACCATTGGATGAGAATGATGTCGAAGGGGAAGGTGAAGAGGACGAAGACGAAGGAGAGAAAGAAGGTGCTACCGAAGAGGGAGAAGGTGCATTGGAGTCAGGACTTCAGCATCTCAAAGTTGAGCAGGACTAGGAGACGAACTGTATTGATGCATGAGGTGCAAAATACACTCTTGTTAACTGTTGATGTTACCTCTTGAGCAAGGCCTGCTGTTGGAGCTCAGCAACCTTCCCTCAGTACGAGGTAGACGATGCAGGTAACATTGGCTCGACTTCTCCATGTCTTGTATTATCTGCCGAAGTTGTTGATCTGTACTGCACTGGCTTGATGATTTATGTCATGTTTCATGTAGTCATTCCCGATCTCCCCCCCCCCCATTGCTATCCGAGCAGTGCTTTTCCTAAGACTTAAGATGAGCTAATTTGAACACATTGCCGTTGATCGGTGTTTGCCTTCTTCAAATTCTGATTAGGTTGTTTGAGAAAACTGATAGCTTCTTCAAACTATGATCCACTTTATTTGTGATGTTGGTCCATCGTTGACCTCGTGATCCGCCTTTGACGGCGACGTCAGGATCTATTGATGGGTCCAACACTTATGCGGGGCACGTGAATTTGGGGACGGTCTGGTCACCCATGACAGCCGGACGTGAAAGGGCGAGGGTTTATTTGATTATGTTTATTTACGAGAATTGTTTATACTGGAAATTTTTTTGTAGGGATACATCTTTATCTGTATGATTTAGTTACCTTAGATCGTCCTTATACTCGGTGGATGACTTGTACAAAATTGTGGCTGGTTGCAGTGTCCAGGGGGAACGACATACCTCTGGAGAAAACTTTGACCGGCGGGTTAGTGGATCCAGCAGACCGACCGACCGCTGGATTTCCACCCGGCGGATTTTGTCGGGATCTCGTTGTACGCGAGAATCACGACAATCTACTTACTAAATCATGCGTTGTGGGTTTCTGGGCCGTCCATCACAGTCTGTGATGATAAATAAACAGCACCAATAAAAAAAAACCCCACCTTTTTCAAAGATAAATTGGATCGAGCGTTAGGGGTTTATATCCGATCTGGAATCATTGAGTTGGAGCCATTAGGAAACAGTATCCAAGGGTAAATGATGCAGTATCCAATTGGATCGAGAAATAGACTTCCCCCAACTCTACTGTAGTACATGAATGCAACTGGTGGCCAGCATTACACGACCCACGGGACGCCAAAACTCTATCCAGATTTATGAAGCTACTCGAAGAGGATGAAACATACGCAGACGAGGATGATGGAGTTTCGTTTCACTAATCTTTGTTGTCGAGTGACGCCCGTGAGATCGGACAATAATACTCACGAGGTGAGGCAAAATTGGCCAAAGAAACAGATTAGGAACTCCAGATTCCCTCCTACCAAGATAGTAGTTGATCAGTGGGGATGATGAAATTTAGAGATATAGTGCTTTCAGGAATAGTTTTCCTGCTCTCGATTGGATCGCGGAACATTTGGACGAGAGAATCATTGCTCTAACATGTCGACGGCTCTTCTTGGCTTTACTTTTCACTCCGGATGAGTAAAAAGGTTACCTTCTCTCTTCTTCTTCTCGGGCATTATTGTGTGGGATTTTGGCCCCTTGCCATTGCCAAGCGTCCCTAACATTTACAGCATCACCAACACTGGTTGGTCATCCACACAGAGAGAGAGAGAGAGAGAGCTGACACGCTATACACTGGTTGGTCATCCACAGAGTTAGCTCTCTCTGTTTCTTCCAAATGTTTGCAGGTCTATAGCCAACGAGAGCATCGGGAAACGTAAACAAGCTATAGTCTTCTTAGAGAAAGAGGGGGAACACTCCCCAACGGTTAGACTCTTCCTTCTCTCTCTCTCTCTCTCTCCCTTTTTTCGCATCTTGTTCCGAAATTTGTGTGCTTTTTTTTCTCGCCTCTGACACTAGTAGGAGAATGGCTCGAACATTTCTGTTTGTAGACGTACCCTTCTATTTCCTCCTGTCGTCTCTTGATCTCTTCCATCATTGATCTTGAAAGAAATTTCAGGATTTGTTTGTCCCTCTGCCTAATAAAATTTCCATCTTGGAACAGTTAGAACTACTTTCGTGATATTTTGGTCTATTTTTGAGGCTACTGCAAATGCTTCTTTTAGCTTTCTCTACACATTGTAACATTCGCTTCGCTTCCTTTTCCTTCTCTTGTCGAAATATATTAAACGCATGAGTTTCTACGACTTCCGTTTTTGTTTCTTCCTTTTTCCTTTTTGGGAGATGCTTTAGTTTTCGAAGAATCGAATAAAATATTGTTTTTGAAGTAGGCTTTTGACACAAAAAAAAAATATCGAGGTTGGAGAATTTGCGGCCGTACACACTGTATGAGAGTAATAATAAAGTTCTGCGACGATATTGTAAAATTTTAATGTAATTGCAGATTTCTTTCTTTGCCGAATATTATGTTAATTTTTAGATACATGACTTGATTCCTTAGAGAAAAGAACAATTCGCTACTTATATTCGTTGTTGAGCCCTTTGATCCTGCTCTTTCTAGACTAGTTTTGTCTATAGCTGTACTGTGAGAAATACTCCACGCATTAGAATCATGAGTAATTATTATTTTTGATTAGTCTATTTAATTTTTGTTAGTTTTAGAGACCTATTTGATTGAGCATTTACTCTCTGGTTGCATGTTTGCAGATACTAGTATTAGCTGAAACAGGACAAGTCCCAATGGAGATGAGTGAAGTGTCTCTCTGTATGTCTTAATGCTTCAGCTTCCCAATTATTCTAAATTATAGGAAAGAAATACATTTTTTGCATAATTTTGAGTCAGTTGAATTTGGCATTGAGAAGCCGGTGTTTAGGTCCATTTTGTGGCTAAAGTGGAAAGAAGGTAATTTAGAGTTAAATGCTGTTGGTAGGTAAGCAGAGAAGGAAAACTGATCGGACTTGGTGTGATGTATATGTTCTGAACTATGGTATATTCATAGAGGACTCGAACAAAGGATTTAGGATACAGTAGCATTACTCTGATATGTGATACATATTTCCGGGTCATTGATTCTTGCAGGATCCAGCCAATAGTGAGTCTTATCTGACAGGGGTTACTTGCAAAATAAAAATCCTTGTCGATCATGGTTCCCACCAGTTTGTCATTTCAGTATTGTTAAGGGTCATATTTCTTAACTATAAGTTTGTATCTTTCTTAAGATTTTACGGTCTAATGAATTGCAGAGCCGAACTACAGTTATGGATAAAGTGGGAAATGTGGTTGTAGATATTGAGAGCCTAACTCAACCATCAGACAATTGCTCTGGAAGTCCAAAAGTGACAGTGAGTCATCTATATGATTTGTCTGACAATTCCAAATTACTGTGGAAGCAATTTTTTGACATCCCTGTAATAGTTAGGATTTTATAGCGCCTTTGTTGGTTATCTTGATATCTGATGTTTGGTTCTTATCTTCGAAACAGAAAGCTCTATCTCGTAAAGGTTCATGCAGAATGGACAGGCGAAATGGTGAGGAGCAAGAGGCAGATGAGGCCACCAAAAAGCTTGTGGTTAAAGGTATAAGATGCGTATGACTGAAAAAGCTAATTTTAGAGAGTAATTGATCAGGAGATATTGCACATGCTGTTAGGATAAATGTGTAGCCATATGATGATTTAGCTTCCTTTCTCCCTCTTCTTTTTTTTGCTTTTGTGTTGCATATGGTATTTCATCTACTTTATAAGATACAGAAATTATACACTGTCATAAAATTCAAGTGCATCCTAGAGATTAGCCCTTCTAAAACCTTGCTGACAATCTTGAAATGCATCAGTTGACCTTGACTGTATCATTGTTAGTTCGTGCCGAACATGCCATCTTGTCTGCCAAAGTTGCTGATTTAGTTTACTTCAGCATTTGATCTTGAATTTGCTTCTTGTTTTATGCATGTCTGGTATGTAGTCACAGTAGCCGATAATATGCATTGCCACATCGAGTGATGGTGTCCTGGATCTGATCTTGTTGATTTCCTCCCGTACAGTATTCTATTCCCAATCCGAACAGTTGAAGCAACAACCGATTACCAACAAGTCTCATGTAGGACTTCCAGCTGTGGCAAATGTCTCTAATCTCTCAGATGCTGGAGATGGAAGGACTAGGAAGTTAAATCGCTTCACAGCCATCAACCCAAAAAAGATACTTCTCCTCTTTGCATCAATGTAAGTGTTATGTGATAATCTTGTTTCGCTAAGATAATAATTGGTCAATTTGGAGTTGTCACAAGACCATCACTAATTCAACGTGTACATTCCTTCAATTTTTAATTCTTTCCAATTCCCATCATCATGATTAATGGCTAGTTATTTGTTCCATAATTGAGCATATACTGCCGCAGTTGGAAGTTTTATGACTGGTGAAGATAGTGGAAGCTTCTCTAGTTGTGGAAGTTTCTCTAGTCTGGAATCTGCATTTTAGCCTACCTCTGCAATTGCACTTAAAATGTGGCTATAGTTTTACTGTGACTTGCCTGCAGTATCATGGCCAACAATTTTTGGGTTTTTAGAACTAGAAAAATTTTGATCTGAAATAAGCGAAAGTGTAATAAAGGATGGAGAAAGGAAAGAGTATAATTAGTCCTTTATGGCTAATATTTAATTGTATCTTGCTGATTGAGAACTTCCTGCACTTGTAAGAGATTAGAAATTATTATATGATCGTTGCCTATTCATTAGCATCAGAGCTTTCTACAGTTAAGCCAAACAAACACGGGTCGAGGAAAGGTGATATTAACTTGGTATTTCATGACATATTCATAACTGCCATTAAGCTTGTAGAGCTTCTCTCAACACGGAGCTATCCGGTTGGCCCGGAGTTTAATATAAATTAGATCATGGGGTGCAGACCATATGCAAAATGCTTTTGATGATATGTGGAACACCGATGCCTCAAAAGCATGTCAGCTAAGGATACTCTTTGCATGCATAAAAGATACTTCTTCAGAGTCTTATTACCATATCATATCATATTTATTCTATATTTGACATCTGCATATTCCCTGTTTGGTCATTTCAGTATTCTGTCATTGCATCTATTTTTCATAGAAGGGCAAAATTAGGAAAGTATATGAGTGCAAATTGATACTCTGCCCCTTTGTTTTGGAAATTGAATCGATGCTAGAATATGGTTGCATTTCCTTTTCAGTTGAAATCTATTTTTTCTCTCATAACATATGTCCTAACGGAGGAGGGTTGTCCTGATGGTTGGTTCTTTCATTGATCCTCTGTTCTTATTAGCTCTTGTATGCTTGCGGAGATCTCGAACTAACTAACTGCTGAGTTCAAATCAAATTATAACTGCTATGAGACACCAAAAAAAAAAAACAGTTGATTGTAACATCTACCAGACATGTCGAGTCCACCCACATGAGAAAAAAAAAAAGTGTTTTTGTACTTCTGACTCGTTGTCACATTAAAAACTTGATCGATTGATGCTTGTTGTTCATCCTAGCTTAATTTTTTGAGAGCTGAAAGCATCATCTTAGGATAATGAACATGACTAATGCTTGCGTATTGTTCACAGGTCTAGCATGGGTACAATCATTCTCATATATTTCACACTTGCTATCTACCTGAGAGGAGCTTAATTACTTCCTAAAATTTGGTTGGCCGATAAGGTCAGCTTTGATTATTTTCTTTTTCTTTCTTTTTTTTTGGTGGAAAGAACCCTCGTAGATACTACGAGTGGAGGATCCAGAAAACGAGAAGCTCAACAATACCGCATATAAAACCCGATTTCTGGGTATGTGATCGATGAGCAGGTGGTTGTGGAGGCATTATAATCTGCAAAGCTCTGCCTGGCTGTTTTTAGTTTAGCTTTCTTTTCTAAATATCAGCTTTGAGATCTTGCAATTTGAAGCAAATAATTGTTGTGCAGAACTTCATGCCTTTGACTTCTTTTTCTTCCTTTTTTGTGAGTCTACGAGGAATTTAACCCTTTTTTTCTTCACTATCTTGGAAATTTCTCAGCAGTATCTCAGCAGTTGTGGAGATCCTAATGGGAAAAACATGTAAAAGTGGAATAATTTTTTCTCTTTTTGTGTATCAAAATGAGTTTTTCATCAAAGTACCAACTTGATATCAAAATATAAATATCAACCAGAGCAGCATAAACGTGAAAAACCCTATGCGAGAAAAACTACGGACTATAGTCCACCTAAAACTTCTACTATCAATAATAATGATAACAGGTTTACAATAAGTTTTCTCTAAAATAACAAGAGGATCATAATAATATCAAAATCATATATCTTGGCTCAAGAATAACATATATTAATCACATAGATGAATCTAATCATAAGAAAATTTTATGTCTCACAAAATGGGTATAGTAGAGAAGTACCTCAGAGAGGGTAAACTTCAGATCAACATCGTTAATATTGTAGAGCTTGTAAGGATTCTCTGCATAAAATTTGGACCAAAACTGACAAAGCTTAACCCCTAATTGTCGAGTAGAAAACTCAAAATCCTAATTTTTCTGTCTCTTCTCTCTCTCTCTCTCTCTCTTCTTTCCTCTCGTTGTGCGCCATCACCACTCGCTGCGCGAGCTCGCTGCCCTCTTCTTTTGCCTTTTAATTAATGATTTGAGCTTAAAAGGCCTAATTGTCTAAGCCCACATATGGGCTGGACCCAACAATTCTTCCCCTCCAACTCATATGATGTGCTGTATTAAGCCCGCTTTTCGCCTTCATACTTCGAGCTTTTCCTTAGGCAAATACTTTATCAACATATCTGATCCATTCTCATTGGTATGCACCTCTTCCAAGTGTAATTTTTTCATCTCAAGTATATCACGAATCTAGTGTCATCTCACATCAATATGCTTGGATCTAGAATGATATATTGAATTCTTGGAGAGGTGAATGGCGTTCTGACTATCACAGTAAACAGTATATGCTTTATGTTTCAAGCCCAATTCCTGAAGAAATTTTTTCACCCATAAAGCTTCCTTGCAGGCTTCATGGTTAATAGAGCAACACAATGCTGTAACTTAGATTGTCAAGAGACTGCTCCCCTGCAAATGTCATCAAGAACCCGAAGTGGACTTCTTGGAATTAGTATCACCTACTATATAACACATGTCCATCACTGCCAAAACATAAACACAACCTGGAAGTACCTCTTAGATATCTTAATATTCATTTCACTATTGTCCAATGTTCCATACCAGAATTAGAGATAAATCGGCTAACAACTTTAACTACATGAGTTATATCTAACCTAATATAAACTATAACATACATCAAACTACCTACTGCAGATGAATAAGACACTTTAGATATTTCTTCTTTTTCTTTTTCACTTGTAGGACATTATTTCGAACTAAGCTTGAAATGATCTACAAGTGGAGAACAAATTGCTTTGGCTTTACTCATGTTGAATCTTTCAAAAACCTTTTCAATGTAGGTCTCCTAAGATAGTCAAATCTTTCTTTTCTTCCTTTCACAAAAATTTTTCATGCCAAGTATTTGTTTCACTGATCCTAAGTCTTTCATGGCAAAAGACTTACTTAGCTCTCTTTTAAGCTTTTCAATTTTACCGGCATCATGACCAACAATCGGCATATCACCAACATATAATAGTAGAATAATAAAATCATCATCTAAAAATTTCTTCATAAACACACAATGATCAGATGTGATTCTATTATACTCTTGGCTTATCATAAAAGAATCAAACTTCTTATACCACTGTCTAGGTGCCTCTTTGAGTCCATATAAGCTTTTCCTAAGCTTGCACATCAGATTTTCTTTTCCCTTAACTTTGAAATCTTCTAGTTGCACCATGTAAATTTCTTCTTCTAAGTCAAATTGCTCAACTTCTAAATTTAAGCGGGCAGCTAAACCAAGAACAACACGGATAGAGGACATTTTCACCATAGGAGAAAATATTTCTTCAAAGTCAATATATTTCTTCTGATTGAATCCTTTCACAACTAGTCATGCCTTGTATCTTTGTTGTGAGCTATTATTTTCAATCTTCAATTTGTAAACCCACTTATTCTTGAGAGCTTTCTTCTTTTTATACCAAGTTATAGGTGTGATTCTCAAGCAAAGATCTCATCTCTTTTTGCATGGCTTTAACCCACTCATTCTTATACTTATATAGAATAGCTTCTTGGTAAGTTTCTAACTCTCCCCCGTCAATAAGCATAACATACTCATGTGGAGGATATCTAATAGATGGTTGTCGCTCTCTAGTGGATCTTCTCAATAAAATCTCAACTAGTGGTAGAGGTGCTTATTTAGTTGGTTCAACATCATCAATTGTAGGAGTCTCATCACTGACATTCTTACCATAATCTTCTTATTTATCTTCCCCATGATCATCATAAACTACAAGTGAAGGAACTAGACTCAAACTCCAAGGAATATAAACAAAGGTTTTTAGCTTATCAACATTATCACCATCATCAAACAATTGGTCTTCAAGAAATATAACATCTCTGCTTCTAATAATCTTCTTGTTTACTAGATCTCATAATCTACCCAAACTCTTCATGATCATATCCTAAGAAGATATATGCTTTTGCTTTATTATCAAGCTTGAACCTTTCATCTTTGGGAATATGAACAAATGCTTTACACCCAAAGACTCTCAAATGATTATAAGATATATATTTTCCTTTCCATATTGTCTCTAGAACATCACCTTTCGAAGGAACCGATGGACAAAGATTTATCAGGTCAACTATAGTTCTCATAGCCTCCCATCAAAATGACTTAGGTAACTTGGTATGAGAAAGCATACACTTAATCATTTCTTCAATGGTTCTATTCATCCTTTTTGCCACACTATTCTGCTAAGGAGTTTTGGAAACTATTTTCTTAATTCTGATACCATGAAACCTGTAATAATTTTCAAAAAACCCATGTACTCACTACCATTATCTTATCGAACACACTTTAGCTTTCTGCTAGTTTTTCTTTCAACACTGACATGAAACTCTTTGAAAACATTGAGTACCTGTTCTTTAGATTTCAAAGCAAAAGCTCAAATTTTTCTAGAATGATCATAAATAAAAGTAACAAAAAAAGGAGCATCTCCAAGAGTTCTAGTTTGCATAGTATAAACATCAGTATGAACTAAATCAATAACATCTGATTTTCTATATTATAGATA